TTTCATTGTTATGCTTCCCTTTTAAGCAGACTACTCTAGGCCAATCGTATCTTTAGCTTTTACTTATAACTTTACGACCATCTTGTTCAGTTTGGCTTCCCACAACTTTTCTGGTACATACGCATTTATGTTGCAATTTTATTGACCTAACTTTTCACTCACTAGTTCCTTTAGCGAGCCAAACATATGTAATCATTCCATTTTATTAGTCTCTAAACGATTCGAACTGCAGCACCAGCATTTTTGAACTTTGAACTATCATTCTTGTCTAGTTGTCTGTCTTAACATTATCAGTTAAGTCTTGTTCTGTCTAAGCTGCTCGTGGTTATGTTTTACCAATGCATCAGTTACTCTATTTTGTGTATCAGTTCATCAAAGATTTAGCCAAGAGTTAGGCTGAGGGCTAATATCTCATCTTCACTTCGTCAACTACACGATGACAACATATCTTCTTTTACTGTTATCTGTTGCTATTTCCAACCTATCTCCAAGCGTCAATTAACGCTTATGTAATTCACTATATGTTTTAGCCTTTCTTCTTTCTCAAATTCAATCGACTTTTTTCTTGTTATCACCTATTTTCATTTACTATTGGTCCTCAGTAGGACAACCTGTAATCCCTAAAATTTGCGTCGTACCAATATCTTTCTGCTTTTTGACCACTAGTATTCAGTGATATAAGTGTCTTTCAGCATCTCCATATATGGCCATATCCATGAGATGTCATTTAGCTTCAGGTGCTGAGACGATCCTTTTTCCACGTGTGTAGGCGCAAATTATGCGAATCTTCCTACGCCTGTCTGTGTCGGTGTGCTTCAGCCCAAGCCCAATATATGTGTTAAGTATGCCCCCCGAAAATCGGACGACCTCTCTCCTGGCCCAAGTGTGTGTGCTTGCCCGAAACTCAATACCTTTGTCTGTGCACTGGTAACATTCATTTTGCTGTCCTTTTTTGATTGACTCTTCTATTAACCAATTATCAGCTGAGGAACGACGGCACTTTGTCATCTATTCCACCAATCAGCAACGACCATAGCATAGCCCTGTTTCTTAATTCGTTTCTTCTGACAGCTGGTCCTCTCCGGACATATTTAATCAATTTATTTCCCTTATCCAATATATCTATCTAGTGTGGTGCCGAAATTGATTCTTCTCTTTGCTTGAAATGGCATGCTATCCCATTAGTTCTTGGTTGTTTCATGTCCATGTTTCTTAAATCGAACGCAGTTATGTAATCATTTGACTAATATGAGATGTCTTGTCTTGTATGTCTTCAGGCCTGTTTACTAATATTTTTACATGTGGTTCAGGGGTTAGTTCTACTAATTACAAAAGGTCTCTATTTGTCATAGGCCATCTTAAAATTGTTCATATCACCTATAACGTCTTATTTTTTATTGAGCGAAGTATTTCTCATTAGGTTATGTAAGAAGATTACTCTAAATGTATATCTTTTATTACTGGCCTTGATAGAGGACCTCCTGCAAAACCCAATCAAAAGATAAAGTGGTATTCTGGAGTAGAAAAGCTTATCAATGATTACAATGTTTACAAAATTTAATCAGTATATGAAAATAGTAAAAATGCTAAAGAAGACTCCTCGAACTCTTGAAACACATCTCTATTGGATTTAGGACATCATCAATTAACGTAGGTCATGTGACTCTTTTTGGTTTGTATTGACCAACTTGATTTACTACTACCCCAACAGGACATTTTAGAGCTGGTCTTGGGAGGGCGTAGTTCTTACGCTTAATATAGCTCGATAGTTAATCATTTGAGTCGCTGTATTGATGTTAGCCTCTTGGTTTTTGGCGGAATTAGTGACTATGAATGCAGCGCGATAATGTGGCTGCAAAGCGAGTGAATCCAGTGGATATGGACCTACCCGCCAGCTTTGCTGAACTTCGCTTTGTCCGGCGACCGGTAAATGCCATCCCCTTGGTTCTTGCAATGGCCCAGATGCGATGCGCGTATATATTACGCGGAGATTCTGTTAAGGTGCGTGTCACAGGAATGCTGAGTTTGTATTATTTCGGTCCTGGGAAAAATCGGGAAGTAGATAGTTGGCATTTGCTCACTCATACCCTGGGTAGACTCGATCCTCCTGGTATTTAACTATCCAATCGACTAAGGCCCAGATGGGCAAAGCCACTCACTTTTACAAGAAACGGGATAAAATGAACTTTACTAAATTTGGAGTGACTAGGCAAGATCAAATATCTGTTGAGCGTTTTAGAGGAAATCGGTGCAATGCGCATACGTTGAGATCATAAATAGCTGGTGCAAGCATGAATGGCTGGTCAGATTATCCACTCATTACCCAACTTTTGTTTTGAATTGTTTTTATCAATATGTCTTCCATCATATTGTTGGAAGCCTCAGCTATGAATCCACACATACTCTAAACAATCTATATTAAGATATGAAGACCAAGATGGTGGGGCCTCGGTATGCCAAAATAAGGGCACACATTTTGGCGAGTGGAATGTAAACAAGTCGGAAGTTGTGATAAGGCGAGAGTTGGATAAGAGTGTAAAGAGTTGATAGATGGGCCAGGGAAGGGATAGTGTAACCGTTTTCGGCAGAACGTTGGTCTAGGGATTGACTTCACTTGTCTCTTTGAGGAGTTCCTATCTTGGTATGGATAATGGCAACAATCACTGATGATGTTGACTACTATGCCGGCTAAATGTCTGGGAATGTACCAAGTCCATGGTTTTGTGCTGGGAATTATGATAACTACTATGACAAAGGACTTCAGACAAGCTGAGTTCTACTAAGTCGCCTTGACAACAAGATCAACCCAAATACATATTAAGAACAAATGATAGCCTCGAAACCTATTTGCAATGAAAATGAGTAGTGTCGTAAATCACAATGGCAGACATGCTTGCTTAATCGACATTCGCATTTGTAATATGATTTGAGAGAGGCCTGACTTAATTTTGATATCACATTTATCCTGTAACCAGTTAGTATCGGTAGCTGTGTAGAGTAGTGTTAACGTCACTTCAATGCTCATAGACCTTTATAGAATCCAATTAGGGGTTCTGATAAACCTATGCGAAGTCGAAATTACAGTCACTCTGGATAAGATAGCTTTTTGGGAGACAAAAAATGAGATACTTAATTTCGTGTTGTAGTTAAATCAAAAGAATAATTTCTTATTTAATATCCCTATAAAAAAATTGAAAAAATAATTTTTGATCATTCATATGCTTATTTGATAATTACTTATCTGTCTGACTCAAGCCTTGATCATATTGAGTACGTCTCTCTACTCTCTTACTTCCTTTACTTATTGGATTTTACCACAGGTTTATCCGCCTGGCTGTTTGTCTTCGTAGGATATTTAATTAAGTTATTACATTATTATTATATATATTATTAATATATTACTAATACATATTATACGTTAACGTATGTAACTGAACCATTTATTTTTAAGGGAACAGCAAT